GTAAGAACTTCTAAGTTGTCAAGATACAGTGTGTCTTTGGGCAACTGATTGTCAAGATATTCTTGTCTTTCGGCAGTCAGTTCAAGCTTTGCAACATGGTAAAAATACATAATTACACTAAGCTAGTATAAACTATGAACCCATAACCAACATTTTAATCTATGTGCAGAGTAAGAACTTCTAAGTTGTCAAGATACAGTGTGTCTTTGGGCAACTGATTGTCAAGATATTCTCGTCTTTCGGCAGTCAGTTCAAGCTTTGCAACATGGTAAAAATGCATAATTACAGTAAGCTAGTATAAACTATGAACCCATAACCAACATTTTAATCTATGTGCAGAGTAAGAACTTCTAAGTTGTCAAGATACAGTGTGTCTTTGGGCAGCTGATTGTCAAGATATTCTTGTCTTTCGGCAGTCAGTTCAAGCTTTGCAACATGGTAAAAATGCATGATTACAGTAAGCTAGTATAAACTATAAACCCATAACCAACATTTTAATCTACATAGTCTATGTGCAGAGTAAGAACTTCCAAGTTGTCAACTTGAAGATACAGTGTGTCTTCACATTAATACAGTATATAAATTAATAACCAAAGCCAACAGTTACCAAATAATTGCTTGATCCTGTACATTCGAACAGAACTCTAAGTGTTTTGTAGTAATGTAAATATATTAATACTCTCATCACATTTGTTTGAATAAATATTTTGAACGTTGTGGGGATTTTTGTCCCCATTTGTGTCGTTTGATGCTTTTTACATTTTGGTGGCAAAAGGGACGTAATGTACATGTGTCAATCTAACATTTTTATATAAAATATACAAGCAGAAAGGCGAGATTTTATATAGAATCTGAAAGCCAGTCACTACGAAAACCCATGCTTGGGTTTTATACTACATGCAAATTCACAAATTATTTCGATTTTAGTCTATGACTACAATATAGAATACTACAAATGCTTACCTTTTTATATATCAAGTGAAGTTTACCTCTTGAAAATCTTTATTCTTAAAGTTAAACCTCGAGTTAAACAATAAATGAATAAAAGCAGTCGTACCCTTTCTGCTCTCTGCACGTAATACAACAACCGCAAAAAAAGTCGCAGAATTGTCGTGCACGCGCGAATTAACCTGGGGCGAGTGGGAAAGTGGAGACATGCATTAATCTACTTAAGTATACTCATATTTTATTATCTGAATAAAAAATAAGCAACACCAGCCGAAAGGACGGTAATATTTCCCAAACTTAAAGTTTGTGAATTCGGAACGGTTGTATTTTCCGCAGGATGTAAGGAACCTGTCTCAGGGCTCCCTGGATTCGTAGGTTTTACGTCTGGGGATATAGGTTTTTCAGGTTCTATTAAGGAGGGATGTGTTTCACGACCTCCCTCAAAAATTCACTTTTTCGTTCTTCCCAAAGGTCACACCGTTCTTGGCGATCGTTAAAATATTATTGTACCCTGCCAAAGGTTTCCTTAAAATTTTCATGTCGGACGGTATGAAATTTAATTCGGGCATGATTGCGAAGTTGAGGACGACGTGCGTATCGGCGATCGCCGTCCGCATATTCCGGATGATTGTTGAAATATCGTTCTGTACGACGCTGTCTTTCACCACTTTTCGAAAGATTTCTTGCGTCTGTAAACTTTTGGCACCCTGCCCCATAATACTCCATCGGGTTTTCGCTTGCGATCCAAGCACGGCGTAGGTATAAACTTCGAGAGATTGTTGAAAGAGTCGTTGTCCTAATTTCGTCAATCCACGCGATATTTTCGGAATGAAAATTTTATGATCTTCCGCCACATTTTTTTGAAATCTTCCCGTTAAATATTCGTAGACGATGTACGTTCCGCCGTTGATTTTACGACGAGTATCCGCAGGTAATCCGTAATACCACGTTCCGACATTCGCATGCGAGGATACGGTTCGTCTTTCCCATGTTTCACGAACGGTCATGTATTTTCGGATGGTGACAATATCATCTTCGGTCAGTAAATGATCCAGTAATTTTGGATTTTTCATGAATTTTTCCACCTGATAATGAACGTGAAATTTTACGGTCGATGTGACCAAGTGAGAATGGGAAATGGAATTATTCAAGTGATCTTCTGAAATTCCAGATTTGAAGGTAGCGACGTAACAGGCTGCCAGTGAACAAAAATAAGAATTTTTGTGGTAATCAAACGGAATTAAATCCATAAATTTTCCCGCCTCCGTATATTGCGGTGTCGTGTATTCGAGATGGACGGGAAAATAGTTCTGCGAAGAGTCTGTTTCCGACACGTAAATTTTAAATGCGTGTAAATCCATCGAGAATTCTTGGTTGGGTCGAAAAATCATATCCGACGCGACGTTACGCCATCCGTTCGTCCAATATAAGTATTTCGTCCAATCCGGATTCGTACGAAATGTCTCGGACGTAATATCGTAACTTGTAAGATCGTCGACCTTGTACGAAATTTCGGTAGAATCTAACGCACCATCTTTGGTAAATTCGACTTCGAAATTAAATTTACTCAATGTCGCGTTGGGATATTTTTTCAAAAAATTAGTTTTCATCTTTTGGATTTCGAGGGGATAGGCTTTTTTCACCTTTTCGTAAGTTATCCGTAATTATGACGGAATAATTAATCGTCCATTTTGTTATACGATAACGTATAATTCCATTAAAACATTTCCCGGTACGATACCGTGAACGTTAGATTTCACGTCGAAATGAAATTCGTTGTAAATTCCCGCATCCGCACCGACTTCGCTTTCGATGTCGTTGTATTTCGTCGTCGTTCCAAACAGAGGTTTTGTTCCGGCGATGGGAAGCGACGTGATGATATTACTGGGAAATCCCATCGGATCTATATTTCGGGATCGGTTCGCTAAATTACATCCGACCGTGACGTAACGTAATCCTTCGTGAATATCTACGGAACGATCACTTTGATGCGTCGTCGAAAAAGTAGTGTATCCCAGCAGACCGTTCAGTTTCCATAACTTTAAAGATTTTATACCTTTCGTAAATTCAATCTTGATGCGACCGTCGGGAAATTCTTCGACGGATAATCCGTGACTTTCCAACTCTTTTCGTAAATTCTTAAACGTCCAGTATCCTTCGTCCAACACAACTTTTTTCCCGCCGATGGAAAAATAGTCGTTGTACTCTTTTCGGATATTTTGATACGTCCAGAACACGGCGGCTGTTTTGACGTAAAGTTTGGACGCGTGGGTTAGAACTACGATTCAGTAATTTGATCGTAGTTTCCCCATTTTCGAAGTATACCGTTATCTTCTTCATTTATATTTACGAAAATATAAATGGAATTAACTTTGGATTTAGGCTTACGCGAACTTTATTTTAACGTCAACAGTGGATACATGTCGATGGAGAAATTATATCGGGATGCATTAAAAGAAGGCATTGAAGGAGTCACGCGAAAAAATGTAAAAGAATGGTTATAGACCCAACAGACCTACATCGTTCATAAACCGATCCGAAAACATTTTAAAACTCAGAGGACCTACGTCGACGGACTTGCCCAACACATACAAATGGATTTGGTGGACATGCAGGCTTATAGTCGTGCGAATAAAGGAAACAATTGGATTTTAACCGTGATCGAAGTTTCAAGTCGGTATGCATTTGCCGTACCCGCCTATCGAAAAGGTGCAAAAGATATGGTACCAGCCGTCGAACAAGTTGTAAAACAATTTCACGAAAGATTCGGACGATATCCCAAAAAAGCACAATTTGACGAAGGAAATGAATTTTACAATAACGGTGTCAAGGCGTTATTGGACGATCACGACATTCATTATTTTTCAACGGAGAAAAAACCGGTAAGAAAGCGGCGATCGTTGAAAGATTTAACAGGACGTTAAAAACAAGAATGTGGAAATATTTTACGGAAAGTAAATTTACGGAAAAGAAAAAGAATGGATTGACATCTTACCGGATTTTGTAAGTTCCTACAATCATTCCAAACATCGAACCATTGGAATGAAACCTGCAGATGTGAACGAGGACAATAAAGACGAAGTCTGGACGAAAATTTACGGTTACCCGTTAAGTCATTTTCCAAAACCAAAATTTAAAGTTGGGGATAAAGTCCATGCAGTCGTCGATCCGAAAACATTTAAAAAAGGATACACTCAGAACTTTTACGACGGAGCCTATGAAGTAACTGCGGTATATCGTGATGATCCGAACATGTATCAACTTAAAGATCCCGACGACGGTAAAGATATTTTAGGAAGATATTACGAACATGAATTATCGTTAGATTTAAGTAGTAAATAAAATGGAAAATATTGAACTGAATGACTTTGGACAACGTGACGATAATTACGAGTGGGATAATTGGGAGGAGACTAATGTTGACTCGTACGAAACAAGATTGGAAGATTTGGATAGACGATACGATGAAGTATGGATGACGGATTTTAAGAGAAACAATGAGAGTGATACATCTAAAAAAAGAAAAATAGAAACTAATTCACTACTTACGACCAGATCGTCTGTCAACTTGAAAGCAGGATATATGAAAAAACTTTTCACGGAGGATTATAAATTAAATCCGAACGACGGACCGGATTCCAAAGATTTATTTTCGCGATTGGATGTTGCCGATAAATGCTGGTTGACGTATGATGATGTCAAAGTCGCCTACATCGATAGGAGTGGAAATTATAAATTTTCGGGGGATAAAACAAGCGTACAGGGATTAAAAGATTTTAGGACCGCCTTTGAAAAAGCGACGGAAGAACACAAAAAGACGATCGTCAGTCTTGTGGAAGAAGAAGTTCCGAACGGTGAGAACATCGATCCTATTTCCGAGGATGTTCGCGATGAAATACATCGGGAAAATATCGACGACGACATTGAATTTAGCGAGCGGGTACTAAAATTACATCGTGACGGAAAACTTACCGATCAAGAAGCTAGGGAATTAGTAGGAATTACAAGACCCAAAGAAGAACCCGAAGAAAGAATAAAATATTTAAAAATAGAACGTGAAAGACTCAAAAAAAATTTACAGACCGAATCCGATCCCGAACTAAAAGAGATTTTACAAGACGGATTAACGATCGTCGAACAAAATATCGACGATGCAAGATTACAAATGTATCAAAAACCCGAATCCGAAGAAGGAATTCACCGCGCACGTGAAAAAGTACGCGACGACGTACGAACAAGATTTGAAAAATTTTGTCTGCCATTGCCATCTCCGTGGCGGGAATTATCACGACGGTGGTTGTCGCCGGGAAAAAGACGTTGGTTGGAACCGCGAAGGGATTGGGAGAAGTGGGAAAAGCGTTGGCGAAATTCGCGAAAGCTGCCTTACCGATCCTCATTCCCATCCTGAATATTTAAAGTACCATACTGGGTTGGGGAGCAAAAGGATTAGAATTTCTTGCCAAAAATTTATGGATCGTCGCTATTCTCATAGCCGGATATCTGTATAATTATTTCACGAAAAACAAAAATTTTATTTTTTTTTATTTCCCATGAAATAAAAGGATGGAAAGCCGAACACAAGAATTAATGCCAGACTTTCATCGTCAATCCAGGACGGAACTCATGGGAAATAGAACGAGACATCTAATCACGTTCAATCCCAATTCCGCCAAACCCGGGGAAGAAATCTACGTGAACATTCCAAAATTAAAACCGGATTCCGTTCTGGTTCCCGATAGTATGGCGTTGGTATTCGACTTTAAAAATGCCAACGAAAAATCATGGTTCCGAAATAATCTGGGAAAATTATTACAAAAAAAGATTGGAAATCCGGCTGGCCGGTGAAAAAGTCTACGATAACGGCGGCGAAAGTTTGATGGAAGTGTACAAAGATTTGTGGATGGATGAAAAACAACGTGCGGATAAGATCGCAGACGGAATTGCGACCGAAGCCGTCCGCAAAAAAATCTCCAAGGACGATGAAGCCAATGCCGATGCCGATGCCGTGGCATTGTTCGGTATCTTTGGAACGAAACAGTGCATAAAAATTAATAAAATTTTAGGGGATCACGGATTGTACGCACCGTATCATTCCGCGAACGATATACAGTACGTCATCACGTTACCGCAAGCCTCGGAAATCATGAATGCCCAAAGTGGTGAATCCGTCGAGGGATATTCGTTGGAAAACATCGAGTTGGAATACGAGTCCATCGAAAATAATAATCTCGCCCGAAAATCCGAAAACTTGTACGGATCCGAACGAGAATTATCGTACGAACACGTCACGCTGATGAAAAAGACCGAATGGGATAAAAATGCGACGATCGTCAACGAAACCATCAACGTTCCACGACGTAGTATCAAAGCCGTCGTCATGTTATTCACCGAGAAAACATCGACCGATAGCGAAGAATATATCTTCCCGAACATCGAAAAAGTCAAAGTGACGATCGAAGGTGTTCCCAACGTCATTTACAGTCAGGGGATGACGAAAACACGAATGTACGAAGAAGCCAAACGGCTTTTTGGTACCGATGCAAACAGTCAGCAATCCCTGATTAAATTTTACAAGGATAAAAAATTCGCCTTGGTCACCGACTTACGAACCGTGAACGACGAAAAGACTTTCGGGAACGGTGTTAAGTGGCTGTCTCACTAAGAACCATGCAGAGAGTTTCAGGTTAAAAATTAGATTTCCTTTATATTTTTACCATGAACTACCTTTGTCCTAAAAGGTATTAAACTAATATTAGAATTTCTAAATTTTTCTTTTTTTTTGAGTTATGACGAATTTTTGTCTGGACGTCAGCGACACTGAAATTTGACCCCGAAAACGGCGGTCAAATGTGTGTTAAATTGTGCATCATAACTCGGGAAGATTCGCGTCAAATTAAAAACTTTTTTCAGCGTATTGAGACATATTCTTCTTCTTTTAGAATGTTGAGAGAATTTGAATGTACATCTTATTTTAAGCCAACTAGTCTCCATCCAAGGAAGTCGGAATTTTCGTTCGCCAAAAACTAATGATTAGGTATAAAATTCAAACTAAAAATTCTCAAAAGTGCAACCTACCTGGTGTCTAAAACACTTTTAGGGTTAAAGTAGAATACTTAAAGTTATGTTATTCGCAATAAAACTTGTCGGCAAAAGGAATATGAAGGAGTGCAAAATTCATAAATTTTTGCTATAAATAGCTATATTGTTTACCTTTGTGATAACCGGAAACACGTTCAAGGTTGCTCTCGGAGTTTTTATAGCGACTAATATATTGCACAATCATTGTATTTAACTAAGAAAAGTTTAATTCGATCGATGAAATGCGACGGATCTTTGAGGTCCAAAACGATCAGAAGAAATAAATTCGTCTAGGACGTTGTATCCCTCATGACCCGACAGGTACAGGGCCGTAGGAAGCTCTTTCCAAGGGGGGGGGGGATGAAAGCGGGGTCGAAGGCCCGAGGAAATTTTTAAATTTAGAGTCTCTGAAATACCATTTTCTGGACTTTGGGGAAGATTTGACAGAAATCTGATTGTCAGAAAACAGCGTTTTAGTATGTCGAAATTTACAATTTAGTAGTACCACATGGCCGAATGCGGTTTTAACTCTTTCTCAGCTGGGGCCATTACGCGTAGAACGTGCAAGTTCTACGGATGTAATTCGTTCATACCTTTGGTTCAGTGCACGCTATGTAGATGAAAATACCACGATTCTATTCCGTATAAAAATATACAGTAATTTATAACGATAGTTTTATTCAGTAGCTAAATTGTAGCGATTTATGAACTTTGAAAGTCAAGCGAGCTTGGTATTTGATCAAATTACACAATATTACTAACAAATTATAAACATAGACATACCTTTCGCCGAACATAACTTCGGCCCCTTGAGACGTATGCTCATTCTGGTAGTCTTGATGAATGAAGCAGTTAAAAATAACATGTATACTGTTATTTTCAAGCTTCTATCTTTAAAATGTGAGTTTTCTGGCCGAATTTTGCATTTCTGCTCCGAATTTGCGTTAATCCCAACCGGAAATACGACGAAAAACCGTCAAAACAATGCGACGTTTGTATCGCGTGACACTGGAAATGCCAGAAATGGATTCTACAGGTCAAAGTGCACCCATACGCGTGAGTTTGACGTCATCCCAGCTAAAGGGAGCTCCTTATTGGCCAAGTATTACGTAATACAAGCGCGTGCGAGTAAAACCCGATACCTTGAAAAATTCAAAATAAATATTTCTACTCGCCGTATTCATACGAAACTTTCTACACGAAAGCGCTTGAATACAAAGAGTATTTTACACATATAGCCTTTCAGAAAATGACGAAAAGTTTAGAAGATATTCAACTTTTTCTCTTTTTCTCGTTTGAATGTTTGGCGAAGCGGTGAGTATAAATATATGATTGTTTCGGTTTGTGTAATGTTTTGACGGCACTTGACCCCCCGTTCGAAAGGTTATATTGTGAGGATTTCAATGGTGGCATTTATTTAAAAGGGGGGTAAATACTCGCCGAGATATTTATATTAGAAAAATTGAATCGAAATGTAATACGAAACTACCGGCTGAGAATTAATTAACTATATATTGGATAAGTTGCAGGAAAATATGGGTAATATCTTCATTCTTTGCAGTCATGGATTAAATGATAAAGGTCTGCATGATTATGACAAAAGAATGATTATTAGGAAATTATTGGGGGGGCTGCAGCCCCCAGCCCCCCCCGGTTGCTACGGCCCTGAGGTGCACAATTCCAATGTCGAAAATGGGTGTTGCTGTAACGTCGCATCGAATTAATAAATCCATGAACTTGTTATTATATTTTGTTAAAAGTTTTCCGCATCGCCCATTTGGCAGAATTTTTGTCCTTTCATGCAAACGATTCAATTCATCGTATAAAACGATCTTAGTTGCATTGACATTGACTACGGCTGCGACGTATACTGAGATCTGTCCTTTATCTTTACTTTAATCTATACAGCAATATAATAATAATAATTTTACAGTAGTTTGCAGCTAATCGCCATTCTGTGAATAACTTTCAACTTCAATTGGTATTTTTCGGCAAAATTTGTTTTGTCTCATAATAGTACTTAGTAGTATAAATTATAGCAATAAAAAATACATAACATCATAGTTTGTATGCAGCGTTTTTGGTACTTGATTTGGGTTAACGATACTGTTCCAGGCACCACACGCTCGCGGACCAAGAACAATGACATCTCTCGACATGTTCAAGTTAGTCAGGGAGTATTTGTCCGCACCTGCACAATTTAGTTATTTATTTGGAAACATGTGCATTGCCCAATCATGGATGATATTTTATCTATGAGAGTCTGTATTTTATCCTTTGATTTGAACTGAAGTTCAAGATGCGCACAAATTTCTTTCAGCATCGTTATTTTAAAAACAGATAGGCTCTTCTGTTTGTACATGTCACATAAATCATACGCGTCGTGGTATATAGGATGGCATACGTCGATCTCAGCAAGCATTTTCCACAAGTTGTCCACAAGCATTTTTCTTTGTGCCGTTTCGCCTCAAAATGAAGAACACGTAAACTTACGCATTCTCCTTCATGAAGAACACGTAAACTTACGATAGTTACCTCCAGTTTCCCCTGCGTCATTAAACTACTAATTACAACACTTGAAGAAGTAAAAGTAGCGTAATACCTACGTGATCCTATATTTGAATTAATTTCCCATAAAAGAGTAAAAACTGTTTTTGATAATGACACATTGAAAACATCTCTTCCTGTACACTTACGAACAGGACCCGAATGGAGGGAATACTGCAGGCACGGTCTTAGCGGCCTCCAAAATTGTCCCAAATTATGATGGTGGGACGGACAAATAAACATCATCTTAAACTGGTCCTCGGTAAGATTGAACAATCCTGCGCGAATAGCAATTAACTCGTTCTCTCTCAAGTTCGATTTAGAAAGATGACAGTTCGATAGTTGAACACTCATATCTTCCTTACAATCAAATAAGCAACTAATTTCCTGTAATCCACGACTTTCACCACAAGAAATTCCACCAACGACAAGAAATGGACAACTTTTCTCCATAATCAAAACTAAATTAGTAAGCTTCTAGAAATATCTAAAAACGGTACTTCTTTGCGTTAATTTTCTGTTAAACAAAACAGGTGTGGAAATTACAAAGGAACACTGTCATTGATATTATTTAAGAATTAAGTTTAAAAAATACTCCAATAATTAGTTTTAACAATGGCGCATTGAAGAACAAAAACAGCTTGTATACATTGCGTCTGCTATAATTATTTTCTGCTATTATTTTCGTGGTTTTTTATTATTATTTTATAAATTAAAGAAACTTAAAAATTGGCTACAAACGTAATCCCCTTGGCATACAGACTACAGTAACACAATTTACCAACCTCGAAATGTTTTCGACTACTCCCGAACGTTTGATTAAAGATTAAATTTGCGAGATTAAATTGTTTGTTGAAGAATTAACACGCGAAAAATAACTATCCAGGTAGCAAGTTAACTATAAAGTTTAGTATATTGTTGCTTTCGTAATATAGCGTGTATTCTATTTATGGCACACTCATCAGTACATATTAAACAACGATAATATATATTGTACATTATGTTGGCGTGCAACTATTTAGTAATTTTAATCAACTTTAAAACGATCAATTGTAAAGGCTTTCCAAAAGCTTAAAAAAATTACAAGGCGGTGTTTGTATTCATATGTAAGAACTTATAAACACTATTTTATATTTATAATAATTTCTAATATAAATTTATAAAAGCGCCGCGAGTAACGCTGAACGTGTTTCCGGTTATCACAAAGGTAAACAATATAGCTATTTATAGCCATAATTTATGAATTTTGCACTCCTTCATATTCCTTTTGCCGACAAGTTTTATTGCGAATAACATAACTTTAAGTATTCTACTTTAACCCCAAAAGTGTTTTAGACACCAGGTAGGTTGCACTTTTGAGAATTTTTAGTTTGAATTTTATACGTAATCATTAGTTGTTCGGCGAACGAAAATGCCGACATCCTTGGATGGAGACTAGTAGTCTTAAAATAAGATGAACATTCAAATTCTTTCAACATTCTAAAAGAAGAAGAATATGTCTCAATACGCTGAAAAAAGTTTTTAATTTGACGCGAAACTTTCCGAGTTATGATGCACAATTTAACACACATTTGACCGCCGTTTCCGGGGTCAAATTTCAGTGTCGCTGACGTCCAGACAAAAATTCGTCATAACTAAAAAAAAAAGAAAAATTTAGAAATTCTAGTACTAGTTTAATACCTTTTAGGACAAAGGTAGTTCATGGTAAAAATATAAAGGAAATCTAATTTTCAACCTGAAACGCTCTGCATGGTTCTTAGTGAGACAGCCACTTAAAATTCATAATACCCAGTCGGGAATCTTAGTCGAAATTACTAAGAAAGCAACGACGGCCAACGTCGTCTGTTCTTTCCGACGGTATCATTAAAATTGTCAACGGACAATTCGGCGGTGTAAGGTATTAGGATGGTAAAAATTTCATATTTTTTCCTGAAAAAAATATGAAAATACAGACTTGTCCCAAAACGGGACAAGTCTCAGAATGTCGAGATACGCGACATTTCCCTATTCCGTCTTTATATCCTCCTTTTCTTCTTC